TCGCAAAGGTAGATTCTAGCTTGATGTGGTTTTTTCCACGTCTAGATCAGCATCCTGTCTCTTAAGAAAACTGTGTGGTGCGGCGCCCAGGCTCATAAAAAATCAAGTAAGCTCTATTACAATTGTATTGGGAGATCTCAATATCTCTTACTGTCATGAAAAGACAGATCAACTAGACAAAAAATCAATAATGAAATATTAGAACTAAATCAAACTCTTGAACAAATGGACCTAGTAGATGTCTATAGAACGTTCCACCCCATATATCAGAATATACATTCTTCTCAGCTGCACATGGGACATTCTCCAAAGTAGACCATACACTAGCTCATAGAACACGTTTAAGTAAATGCAAAGGAATTGAAATTATCCCAGCATCCTATCAGACCCACAGTGCAATGAAATTGGAAATCCATGCCAAAGGAGACCACAAGAACTTCATAAACGTGGAAATTAAATAGCATCCTGCTGAATAACTAATGGGTCACAGCTGAAATTAAAGAAGAAATGAGACAGTTTTTACAGTTGAATGATAATTACACAACAGCATACTAGAACTTGTGGGACACAATGAAAGCAGTCTTAGAGGGTAAATTTATAGCAGAAAATACCCATATCAGGAAAACACAGCAAGCACATATAAACAACTTCATGTTGGGTCTCAAATGTCTAGAAAAAGGAAAACAGGCTAAACCAAAAACTTGTACAAGGAAGGAAATTATAAAGACCAGAACAGAAATTAACACACTGGAGACTGAAAAAACAATACAAAGAATCAATGAATCAAAGAGTTGGTTCTTTGAAAGATTAAATAAAACTGAAAAACTCTTAGCCAACCTTATCCAAAAATAAGGAAAGAAAAAACTCAAATTCATACAATTAGAAATGAAAAGCGTGAAATCACAACAGACCCTGTAGAAATCCAGAAAAGCATCTATTTCTACTTTGAAAACTTGTATTCTAGTAAGATGGAAAATACAGAAGAAATGGGCAGATTCCTAGATATATTTGAATTACTAAAGCTGAATCAAGAAGATATGAAAATCCTAAATAACCCAATATCAATAAATGAAATTGAAGATGTAATTAAAAACCTATTAACAAAGAAAAACCCAGGCCCTGACAGATTCACTGCTGAATTCTACAAGAAATTTAGAGAAGATCTAACAGTTCTACTTCTCAAACTCTTTAATGAAATTGAATGGGAAGCAATATCTTCAAATTCATTCCTGGAAGCAAGTATTATCCTGATATCAAAACCAGAGAAGGACCCAACTAAGAAAGAGAATTACAGGACAATCTCCCTAGTGAACATTGATGCAAACATCCTCAATAAGATACTGGCAAATAGACTGCATAAACTCATCAAAAAGATTGTACACCATGATCAAGTAATACACTATATCAACAGAGCCAAGGATGAAAATCATATGATCATCTCAATACATGCAGAAAAATCTTTTGACAAAGTCAAGCACCCATTCATGATAAAAAAATCCTACAAAAATTGGAATATATGGTCTTTATTTCAATTTGATAAAAGCTATCTATGACAAATCAACAGCTAAAATCATACTAAATGGAAAAACACTGAAAGCTTTTACTCTAAAATCAGAAACAAGACAAGCATGTCCACTATCTCTACTTTTATTCAACATAGCTCTTGAAACTTTAGCAATTAGAAACTTTAGGGCAATTAGACAAGAGAGAAAAACAAAAGGAATAAAGATAGGGAAGGAAGAACTTAAACTATCATTATTTGCAGATGACATGGTAATCTAACTAGAAGAACCCCAAAATTCCTCCAAAAGACTTCTAGATTTAATAAGCAAATTCAGAAGTGTGGTTGGATACAAAGTCAACACTCAAAAATCAATAGCCTTCCTGTTCATGAATAGCAAACTCATTGGGAGAGAAACCAGGGAAAAATACTTTTTACAATAGCATCCAAAAAATGAAATATCTAAGAATCCATCTAACAAAGGATGTAAAAGACCTCTACATTGAAAACTACAGTACTCTGGTAAAGGGGATTGAAGAGAATATTAGAAAATGGAGAGATATCCCATGCTCTTGGGTAAGAAGAATCAGTATAGTGAAAATGGCCGTACTTTCAAAACTATTATACAGATTCCAGTGCAGTCCCAGTCAAAATTCCAATAGCATATCTCACAGAGTTGGAGAAAAGAATCCTAAAATTCATCTGGAAGTAGCAGAGACCTAGAATAGAAAAGTCAATCCTAGACAACAAAGACAAGACAGGGCCCTTATAATCTCTTCCTGGAAATTATACTATAAAGCTATGTGATAAAAAAAAAAAACAAGGTGGTACTGGCAAAATAACAGACCTGAAGATCAGTGGAACAGATTAGACGATATAGAAACAACTCCTGATACACTAAGCCACCTTATCTTTGACAAAGATGCCAAATACATTCACTGGAAGAAAGATAGCCTCTTTAATAAATGGTGCTGGAAAACCAGCTCTACACACGCTGACAGTTAAAACTGGACCATATCTTTCACCATGTACCAAGCTAAAATCAGAATAGATCAAAGATCTTACTATTAAAACAGAAACATTAAATATGCTGGAATATAGAGTAGATAAAAAACTTGAAGACATTGGTGTAGGCAAAGATTTTATGAACAAAACCCTGATTGCACAAGAACCATGACAAAGAATCAAAAGTGGGATCTCACCCTACTAAAAAATTTTGCACCAACAGTGTGGAGACAAGCCACAATGTGAGAGAAAATGTTTTCCAGCTGTTCCTCAGAGAAAGACTTGCTATTGAGAACATATAAAGAACTCAGAAAAAATAGTCTTTCCAGATTCAAAGACTCAGTTAAAAAATGAGCATCTGAAATGAATACACACACACTTCTCAGAGGAAGAAATACAAACAGCAAATAAATACGTGAAAAAATGTTCAGCATCATTGGTCATTTAACAGATGCAAATTAAAACAACACTGAGATTCCACCTCGCCCCAGAGAGAATAGCTACTATCAAGAAATCAACCAATAACAAATGCTGGAGGGGTTATGGGGGAAAAGAAACCCTTCTCCATTGTGGGTGGGAATGTAGCTTGGTATAGCCACTGTGAAAATCAGTGTGGAGATTCCTCAAAAAACTAGGAGGGCTGGCAGCTGGGCTGGGATGGAGACAGGTTAAAAAATTTAGGCCCTCAGCAGTTTTGCCTGCTGAGGGTCTTCTCCTGGCTTCAGGAGCCACAAGGCTCTTGCTTGGTGTCACCAGCCTGGTGCTGCCTGCAGGTGCCTGAAAGCTGGAGCAGCTGCAACCTGGAGCTGACTGGCCAAAGTCCTGTCCAGCCTAAGGAGGTTTTATAGGAGGAAACAAATTACAACTTTTAGCTCAATTGGTAAACATTACTTTTGGTTTCCAATTTGATTTGATGTTTTTGCTTAATTTAAAATGTAGCCAGGCATGGTGGCACACACCTGTAATCCCAGATCTCATTGGGAGGTTGAGGCAGGAGGATCATTGTGAGTGCAAGAACATCCTGGGCTACAAAGTGAGCTCAAATCCAGCCTGAACTGCACATTGAGACTGTAACTCAAAAAAGACCAAAAAAAAAAAAAAAAAAAAAAAAAGTAAAACATTTCTTCTACATTGCAAATTGTTGAGTTGTAATTACAGTATTAAGTTGCTCTTTTCTCTGCTCACTGTTGGTTTAAAAAAAGAACACCGATTTAAGGTTACTCAAAGGTCTATTGACAGTCAGCCTGGTTTACAAAGTAACAATCAGGAAAAAAAAATACACTTTAAAATCCAAGCAGATGCAGCCAGGTTTGTTACAAAAGATTTTTAGTAAATAAAAAATAATTTAAAAGGCTTTGAGAAATGTGAAGGATTAACTTAGTGGTCAAATTGTAACACCCAGCTGAACTGAATCAGAGTGGTGCTGGTTTGGAAGGTCCCCCTGAGGATTGTTGCCAATAGCATAAAAAGAGAACTGGAGAGGAAGACCACGTGCTGTTGATCCTCTTGGAGAAGCTTGTCATGCTGGCTTTCCTGATATGACCTTGGCTGTTTTCATCATCAGAGGAGCTCAGGTCCTTGCTGACACTAAGGATGACTGGGGTTCTCTTTGGGGGAGCTCTGGTCATTACTTTAAGCATCATTTCCTAGCTCCAATGTAGATACCTCAACCTGATTGGCACAAATCCTTCTTCCCACGAGTGTAGACTTTCTAGCTTCTGCTGCTGACCTTTGGATCGTCCCAGTGCAGATCCTTGATACAGACTTGCATGAGACATGTCATGGGCTCTAGGCCCAAGACAGACTTTTGAAGGACAGTGCTATAGGCTCTAGGTCTTCCGCTGGACTTGTGCAGGACATTCCCATGGTGTCCAGTCCCTTGCCAGATTCTTTGGGTCTCTAGTGCATGGACAGATCTCCTGCACTCTTCTACGTTTGACTCTTTGGGTGAATATTATAAAATAATCCTATAAACTTATACATTCCTTTCACATTCACATGAAACATTTTCCTATGATGAGCATACTCTAAGACATAAAGTAAGTCTCAGTAAATGCTGAAAGAACTGAATTGTATTCTTCGGTCAGCAGAATTAAACTAGACATAATAACAGAAAGATAACCTAAACTTCCCCAGATATCAAAAAGTTAGGCATCATAGTATTTAAAGAAGCACATAAGTTAAAAGAGAAATTGCCAGTGAAAATAGAAAGTAACTGACTAAATATAAAAACATCAAAACTTACAGGATGCAGGTAAGTTGTAAGTGAAATTTATAGAATAAATACATAAGGAGAAACAAGGAAAATTAGTGATTTAGCATGCATCTTAAGAAGTTACGGAAAGAAGAACAAAATTAACCCAATATATACAGAAAACTGAAATAAGAAACTCAGAGATTAATAGAATAGAAAATAAATGACTTTAAAGAAAATCAACTAATCATAACCATATCAATAATTAGGTTCCAATCAGGAGATGGAAATCATTATTACCTGTATATGGAGGTGAAGGGGCAGGTAAGCCACATGTTGTTAGTCAACTTGCCCAGTTGGTAAATGCGAAAGATGAGATACGGCTGCCCTATTTCTTTTGCAGGGTTATAGTGTATAAGGCAGGCTTCTATCTGGAGCTCAGGTCTCAAGCGGGTGTGTGCCAGCTTCTCCTCTCTCACATAGAGTCCACAGGGCATAGGTTTCTCTTCGGGGTCCTCGACATAGCAGTAGCCCAGGCGTTTGCGTTCTCCAGGTACCCCGCAGCGATTACAGTCCTGCCAGGGCTCCCATTGGGTAAAGATGAGCACCTCGCCTCCTAGGTGCAGGGTCTCATTCTGCAGGGGCTGTTGGTCCAGGGCTTTGTGTGTAACATGCAGAGTGGTGACATCCTGGAAGTCAATCTCATATTCCACCATCAGGGTGTCATGATTGTCCTGGCAGCGATAGAGGCCTGATTGGGTGGGCTGAGGGTTGATTAATTGCAGGCTGCCACTAGGCATGTTCTTTACGTTATGCATTGAGTTGATCAGGAAGAAATCCTCCCCTAGAATGGAGGAGAAATACCACAGTGCCCCAGGAAGATCACACTTCAGGACAATATCGTTACCTGAGAGTAGAGCCTTCTGGCACAGATTCTTGTAGGAACAGCTGATGAATGGCTGGGTCCAGAGAGTACGGGAAAAAAGGCTAATCAGCCACAGGGTGGCCAGCATGGTAGATTGAGGCAACAGGTCAATTCTGGGAGCCGTGCTGGGCTTTGTGAAGTCACCCACAGAACTCAGGGATTAGGTTTGTGTAGCAGAATGAATGTTGACCCTGAGCTTTCAGGAATATAATTAGTATATATCACCAAATGGCTTTTTGTAAGTTGTAGGGTAGAAAACTGGAGCATCCACAAGAGCTGTGTAGAAAACAAAATGAGTAAACGTAAGTCAGAACAAACTAACTACAAAGGCCAATTACTGACCCTATATGTATCTAATGTGCTGTGATGAACTGGGACAAAATGGCTTCCTGTCCATCACAAAGGGCAGGAAAGAACGATGCTGAGGAAACTCTGGTCAGCCTTTCTGAAATCTAGTGGGAAGTTAGTACAAGGACCTCATATCTTGTTGGTGGGGAAGATTCCTTAATTAGCACCAAATCAGCTTCTTGGTTGGGCTGGGGGCTTCCTAAGCTCTTCTCTGGCTTTCGTCTCCAATCTCCGGCAAGTTTTACCCTTGCTAGTGCTCACCTTGGACATGCCTGAAACAGCACTGGGAGGTGTGACTCCTCCGATATCCTCCATTTTCTCCGCCTCCTTTCTATCCTCTCTGTTTGAGACTCAGGGTTCTCGTAAACCTCCATTCAACCCCATTTATTTTTAAAAACCACAGTTCTGTTCAACTTTCCCTCTTCCTGTCTCTCATACTGCAGGTACCTTCAAGCTTATCTGAGTCCCTTGGAGACCTGTATCCTTTATTTATCTTCCACAGAGACATTTGTCCACATGAAAGGCATTTCTGATAAGCTTTTAATTCATTCAGAGATTTTCACAATAAAATTAACAATGATTTAACTCATGCCATTCTCTGAGTTTATCCTTGGCAAAAGAAATAGAGATTTCTGGGCTTTGTCTTTCTCAATTTCAGCCAACTTTAGCCAATAGCCACTCCTAATATCCTTGATTCCAACTGCTTTTCCTAAAGCCACAAATTCCCTAAGGTCATTACCTGAATTCCAAAGCATCTTGGACAACAGTCTCCATCTTCTGGGGGATGATATTTCCTTGTTCCCAGTGTACCTAAGATGATGCTATGTATTTTGGGTTTTGGTTACAACAGCACTTCATTACTGAAGGTGTTACCAGCTTGTGTGAGTCCTTGCTTCAGTGAAAATGGAAATCAAAACTGAGCCTTAATGGAAAGTAAGAGAAATAGGAAGGGACTTCAGCTTAAGAAGAAGATAGGTTCCCAAAGGCACAGTCCTGATGGAAGTGAGGGCAGGCCCTTAAAGGACAGTAAGGGGAATAGGGCAGGGATGGACTTCAGCTTGAGGAGCCACCAGTGGCACGGCTCTGACCAGCTTGGACTCTTTTTTTTTTTTTTTTAATTTAAGAGGAAAAAGAGAAAAACACAAAACAAAACAAAGCAGTGTAAGGTTACACATAATACAGAACTACAAAAAAAAAACATAACAGTAAGAAATCACCTGTTAATAGATTACGTATTATCATCTTGGAAATAGTTGCTCAAATCACAGTATCAAAGAATACAAAGTAGACATTCAAACAGAGAGACTGCAAACAGCTGTGTTCAATGATCCAAAAACATTAATATAGTCAGCTATTTAACAGCCCTATACACACTTGCTGTTATATCCGTTAGAGCTCTTTTTTTTCCCTTCCTCTCTTTTTTACAACAAAATTTACACATTTTGGATTTTATTACTCCTTAGTGCTTATTACTTTTTTGGAGGGGAGAGAATAAAGTCAAATATGGCAAAACAAAGCTGTCAGTCAAAACCAAGGATAGACATAGCACATGGTGTAGAACAGAGTACAAGGTTATCAACAATGGTTATCAACGTTGTCTCTTGTTTCCTTAAAAAGATTTGTCTATCTCATTAGATATTATAAAGTTGGACAAAACAGTAGAGAACAAGACCAATAAAACTTAGGCATTGTAAACATTACAGGACTTCCAAAGGAGACAATAGTCAAACCAGAATGGGCATCTTTGTGAATCTTATTGTCTTCAAAGTAGTTGCCTATACCCTCAGACTTGATACTATCGCACAGAATGGAGCAGAGTCTAATCAGTCAAAACAAGATCGTGGGAGTATTACAGGACTTCAAAACAAGTTAATAGGAAATCGAAAAGAGTTACTATTATATATCCTAATTTTTAAAATTTTTCCCTTAATTAAAATAAACATAAGAAATAACTAAATAATTTTTTTTAAAGAATAGTAGTTACCATAGTGTCTGTCTTTTTCCTTGAAATATTTGGATAAAACTTCATATACTATAGCTTCAAATATTTCCATATCAAGAAGCCCAGAATAAAGCCTTTCTAATTAATAAGTGAAAATTTTATAAGGCTTCAAGGCCACATAATGGGGAATCATGATTGCCACATATTTTTATATATTTGAATCATTACTTACATTAGGGAAACTATTCGGTATTCATACATGCGAGATTGATTTATTTCACTTATGAGTATGGTTTCAAGCTGCGCCCATTTATTGATAAATATCTCAATGTGATCCTTCTTTATAGCTGAATAATACTCCATTGTATAGAAATACCACAACTTTTTTATCCATTCCTCAGTTGATGGACACTTGGGTTGTTTCCAAGATCTGGCGATTACAAATTGTGCTGCTATAAACATAGGTGCACATAAATCACTGTGGTATGATGCTTTCAGTTCTTCTGGGAATATGCCTAGAAGTGGAATAGCTGGAATAAATGGGATTTCCAATCCCAACTTTTTGAGAAACCTCCAGACAGACCTCCACAAAGGCTGTACCAGTCTACACTCCCACCAACAGTGCAGGAGAGTTCCTTTTTCCCCACAGCCTCTTCAGCATTTGTTGTTGTTGGTTTTCTTGATCCTGGCCATTCTTTCAGGAGTGAGATGGTATCTCAGTGTGGTTTTAATTTGCATTTCTCTAATGACCAATGATGATGAGCATTTTTTCATGTATTTATTTGCCATTTGCATTTCTTCATCTGAGAATTGCGTATTCATCTCAGATGCCCATTTTTGGATTGGATCTTTGAATTTTGGAGGTCTGAGTTTTTTTAATTCTTTATATGTTTTAGACAAGAGTCCCTTATCTGAGAGAGAGTTCACTAAAATCTTTTCCCAGTTTGTGGGTTTTCTTTTCACTATGCTGGAGATTTCTTTTGATGTGCAGAAACTTTTTAATAAGAAGTGGTCCCAGTTATTGATTCTGGAAAGTATTTCCCGTGCGGTTTGAGTCCTGTTCATGAATTCTCTACCTACTCCTATGTCTCCAAGGTTTCTACCCAATTTGTCTTCCAATAGATTTAGTGTTTCTGTTTTAATATTCAGATCTTTGACCCACTTAGATTTTAATTTAGTACATGGTGATAGACAAGGGTCTAGCTTTAGTTTTCGGCAAATGGAGAGCCAGTTTTTCCAGCACCATTTATTAAAGAGACTGTCGTTCTTCCAGTGAACCTGCTTGGCTCCTTTATCAAAGATAAGGTGGTTGAGTGTGTTTGTAGTTGTGGTTGTATCTTCTAATCTATTCCATTGATCTTCACCTCTGTTTTGATTCCAATACCATGTTGATTTTACTACTGTTGCTTTGTAGTATAATTTCAAGTCAGGGATTGTGATGCCTCCTGCTTTGCCTTTGCTGCTTAGAATTGCCTTTGCGATTCTAGGTCTCGTCTGGTTCCAGATGAAATTTAGGAGTGATTTCTCTAGATCTATAAGGTATGTTGATGGTATTTCTATTGGGATTGCATTGAATCTGTATAAGAGTTTTGGGAGAATGGCCATCTTCACAATGTTTGTTCTTCCTATCCATGAGCAAGGGATGTCTTTCCATTTTCTGAGATCATCTTCAATTTCCTTTTTCAGTGTATTATAGTTTTCACTGTATAAGTCTTTCACTTCTTTCGTAAGAGTAATTCCTAAATATTTCATTTTTTTGCTTGCTAATGTGAATAGTCCAGTTTCTCTTATTTCCCTCTCTGTGATTTTGTTGTTTGAGTATAGGAATGCTATTGATTTCTGAGTATTGATTTTGTATCCAGCCACATTACTGAATTTATTTATTGTATCTAAGAGTCTTTCAATGGAGCTTAGGGGGTCTTCTATGTAGAGTATCATCTCATCTGCAAACAATGACAACTTAACTTCTTCTTTTCCTATCTTTACCCCTTTTATTTCTCTTTCTTGCCTAATTGCTCTGGCTAGTACTTCCAGTACTATATTAAATAGGAGTGGTGATAAAGGACATCCTTGTCTTGTGCCTGATTTTAAAGTAAAGGCTTTCAATTTTTGGCCATTTAGTATGATGCTGGCTGTTGGTTTGTCATAAATGGCCTTTATTATATTGAGGTAAAGACCATCTATTCCAATTTTCTGTAGAGTTTTTATCATGAATAAATGTTGGGCCTTATCGAAGGCTTTTTCTGCATCTATAGAAATGATCATGTGATTCTTATTTTTGGCTTTATTGATATGGTGGATTACATTTATTGATTTGCGTATGTTGAACCATCCTTGCATTCCTGGGATGAATCCCACTTGGTCATGGTGTATAATCTTCTTGATGATTTGCTGGATCCTATTTGCCAATATTTTATTGAGGATTTTTGCATCTGTGTTCATTAGGGAGATCGGTCTATAGTTCTCTTTTTTAGTTGGGTCTTTCTCAGGTTTTGGTACTAGAGTAATATTTGCTTCCAGGAATGACTTAGGAAGGATTGCTTCCCTTTCAATTTCATTGAATAGTTTGAGGAGTGTCGGCATTAGGTCTTCTTTGTATTTCTTGTAGAATTCTGCAGTGAATCCATCTGGGCCTGGGCTCTTCTTGGTGGGTAAGGACTTAATTACATTTTCAATTTCAGTAACAGAGATTGGGTTATTCAACAGTTTTACATCCTCTTGATCTAGCTTTGGCACTTCATATGCTTCTAAGAATCTGTCTATTTCTTCTGTGTTATCAAACTTTTGAGAGTAGAGGTTTTCGAAATAGGTGTTGATGATCTTCTGTATTTCTATTGGGTCTGTAGTGATTTCTCCTTTTTCATTTCTTATTGCATGAATTTGAGCTTTTTCTTCCCTTTTTAAAATAAGGTTGGCTAGGGGCTTATCGATTTTATTTATTCTTTCAAAGAACCAACTCTTTGATTTGTTGATTCTTTGGATTGTTTTCTTAGTCTCTATTGCATTGATTTCTGCTCTGATTTTTATAATTTCCTCTCTTCTTTTGGCTTTGGGCTTGACTTGCTCTTGTTTTTCTAGCTGTTTGAGGTGTAGCATCAAGTTATTTATTTGTATTCGTTCTGTTTTCCTGATGTGGGAACTCAGTGCAATAAATTTTCCTCTCAGGACGGCTTTCATTGCATCCCACAGATTCTGGTAAGTTGTATCTGTATTTTCATTTTCTTTTAGGTATTGTTTGATTTCTTCTTTAATTTCTTCTGTGACCCACTGATTACTCAAGAGTGTGTTATTCAGTTTCCATGTGTTTGTGGGATTTTTGCTGTATCTTTTATCATTAATTTCTAATTTCAGAGCGCTATGATCCGATAACATGCAAGGGATGATTTCAGCTCTTTTGCACTTGTTTAAATATGTTCTGTGAGCTAATATATGGTCTATTTTAGAAAATGATCCATGTACTGCTGAGAAGAATGTGTATTCTGATGTTGTTGGGTGGAACATTCTGTATATGTCTATCAAACCCATTTGTTCACAGGTGTGATTCAGTTCTGTTATTTCTTTGCTCATTTTCTGTCTGGTTGATCTGTCCCTTGGTGTCAGTGGCATATTAAGGTCTCCTGTTACAATTGTGTTACTGATAATTTGAGTTTTCATTTCTGTTAATAATTGTTTTATATAACTGGGTGCTCTGGAGTTTGGTGCGTATATATTTAAGATAGTTATCTCTTCCTCTTGGAGTTTTCCCCTTACGAGTATGTAGTGACCTTCTTTGTCCTTTATGGTCATTGTTGGTTTAAAGTTCACGTTGTCTGCAAACAGAATGGCTACTCCTGCCTTTTTTTTGATTCCTGCTGCATGAAGAATTGTTTTCCATCCTTTGACTTTCAGTCTGTGAGTATCCTTCTGGGTTAGATGGGTTTCCTGTAGACAGCATATGGTTGGATTTTGTTTCTTGATCCATTCTGCTAGTCTGTTTCTTTTGATTGGTGCATTGAGACCATTTACATTAATGGTTATTACTGTTAAATGCTGGTTAATTGTAGGAATGTTATCTCTCTGCTGTTGCATCTTTATCTTTCTGTTCTGTTTAATTATTTGCTTTGCTTAGTGGTTTTTTCCTTTGTGTATCTAAACTGTCTTTCAATATTTTTTGCAGGGTCGGTTTGGTGTTCATGAAGTTCTTCAGCTGTTCTTTGTCATGGAAGTATCGTATTGCACCATCTATTTTGAATGATAGTTTTGCAGGATATATCAGTCTTGGTTGGAAATCATTTTGCTTTAGGATCTGGAATACCTCACTCCATGCTCTTCTTGACTTTATCGTTTGTGCTGAGAAGTCTGCTGTGATTCTGATAGGTTTTCCTTTATAAGTGATCTGTCTTTTCTCTCTGACAGCTTTTAATAATCTATTCTTATGTTGGATTTCTGGGATGGTGATTATTATATGTATGGGTGTAGTTTTATTTTGGTTATGACTGTTTGGAGTTCTATATGCTTCACTGATCCTGATGTCAGTTTCTGATCTCATGCTTGGGAAATTTTCAGCTATTACTTCTCTAAATATCCTCTTGACATCCTTTATGTTGTCTCCCTCTCTTTCATTAATCCCTATCATTCTTATGTTATTCTTCTTTGCATCGTCTTGCAGTTGTTGAATTGTTGTTTCCTGATTCCTTGTTATTTTCAAAAGATCTTTCCTTTCCTGTTCACTAGCTGCAATCATGTCTTCAAGGTCTGAAATTCTATCTTCACTTTCATTAAGGCGGTTTTTACAACTTTCAGTGGAGTTTTTTATTTCCTGTATATCTCTGTGCATCTGCATTATGTATTCTGTTTGTTTCTTATATTGCTCGTCTAGGGATTCTATCTTTTTGTTTAGTTCCTCCAATTTTTTATCTGTGTTTTCTTTAGATATATTTAGAATCTCTTTCATTTCTTTTATCATTTCTTCTTTTATCTGGGAGATTATTTCGAGTTTGAATTTCTTTAAAGATTCCTGGAGTTGCTTGTCAACTTCAGTAGCTATTATGTCCGATATATGAGGTGGATGGGATATATTTTCTTCTATATACATCGCTCCTAGGGTTTCCTGAGATGGGCTGGAGGTTTGAGGTTGTAATTTGGTCTTTTGTTTTGTCATTTTCTATATTTCTGCCTTTCAAGTGTTATTTGAAAGCTTCCTCCGGATCTGTTGAAAATCCCCTTCTATGTTTGGAGCTACTGAGACTCTGGCACCGCGCTACCCCAAGCCATTGGGCCTACAGAACCAGTGGCCCTCCTCTGCCTGCTCAGAACTCCGCAGTTCCAGACAAGCTGGGCCTCAGGGACACTGTGCGCCCACCTGCCCCTTGGAAGATCCACAGCTCTTCAATTGCAGCCGGGTTAGGGTGCTCACCACAGGCCGCAGTGCCTCAGGAGCCTGTGATCCCTCCCTGCTTGCAAAGATATCCACAGTCCTCCAGACAAAGGAAGGGACTTCTGCAGGCATTCCAGATCTGCCCAGCTCCTCCTCTGCAGGCGCTGGGCTCGGGGGATAGTGTAGGCCCGCCCATCTGTCGGAGCTCAGCAGAGCTCCAAGTGTAGCCGGGAGGGATGGGGAGGTGGCTGTAGTGGCCTCTAACCCACTGCTCCACTTCACTGCACCCAGAAGCCTGGGGGGTCCGGAACAGTCTGAGATTTGGGCAGACTGTGCTGGGCACTCACCACAGGCTGAGGTGCCTCAGGAACCTGCGATCCCTCCCTGCTTGCAGAAATATTCAGTCCTTTAGACAAAGGAAGGGGCTTCTGCAGGCACTTCGGATCCGCCCAGCTCCTCCTCTGCACGCAGATGGCTAGGCGTGGCTGGGCTCGGGGGATAGTGTAGGCCTGCCCATCCGTCGGGAGCTCAGCAGAGCTCCACAGCTTGGACTCTTAACAAAGGAAAGGCCACATGTATTTAAGGGGGCCGTTGAGGTGGGCTAGGATGTGGTTCTTGATTATCTCAGGCCTGGTTTGTAGCTCTGATTTGTGCCCCTCAAGGCATGAGGAGTAATTCAGTTCCCATGGGATGAGTGCTCCCGCCTAGGCACCATCTCAGCTGAGGGGAGGCTCTGCTGGAATCTAAGGTGACTGTAGGTTGAGGGCAAAGACCAGAGACTTCTAGGTGCTCATCTCAGGGGAAAAAAGTTGGTGGTTGAAGTCACTGTGAATCTCTTGTCCAGTGTCCTCAGTCTTGAAGGAGGATGAGATAGGTCAGATAAATTTTAGGAGAAGGAGCCTTGTGCTACCAGTTCTTGACATTTTCTAAACAGTAAGTCCCCTCACACAGGGCTGAGCAGGGGTCTGACCCAAAGCTTTTAGGTAATTAAGGTGAAAGATGCAAAACAAGGGCAGAGATATCAAGCTATATCCTGTTTTAGTTACCCATTGGGTATCAGTAGACACAAGAGTCAGTGTTTTTAGCAAAAGCAGCTGTAAGTTGACTGCATCAGAAGAACACATAAATCATGTTTTTAATGAGGAACAGAGTAAGAGTCCAGAAGTCCATTTGTCCTCTGTCCCTCTGTGATCCCTAAAGTTTTATTTATTTATTTTGGTGAGGGGCTTTTTTTTTTTTTTTAACAGGGTCTTACTGTGCCCAGGCTGGCTTTGAACTCACAGTAATCCTGCCTCAGCCTTCCAAGTGCTAGGATTGCAAGCATGTGCCACAGTGACCAGCTCTTATTTATTTTTTTGTGGTACTTGGATTTAAATCAGGGCCTTCCCTCTAAACTTCTCCCCATACCTTACTTTTTGTTTTTTTTTCTTTTTGAGACAGGGTCTAAGAGTCACTACTTCCCCAAGGGGCTCAAACTTCTGATCTTCATGCCTCCAGCCTCCCAGAGGGCTGAGATTATAGATATGCACCACCATACCAGGCTTCTCAACAGTTTTATTTTGTATCTAGTTTATTCTTGGAGATACTATGGCAGAGGTGTGTTGGCTTTAGCGATGTACCTAGGTTTCAAGGTTGATGAGATTGTTCTGGAGGGTAGGGAAGATGAGCTACCAGACATACTTATTTTCATTAGTAGCAGGTCTTGACTGAAGGCCCAGGAATGTACCTGCCCTTTGTCCCTGGAAGTCTCTTACTTCTAAGTGTTTCAAAACTAATTTTGGTATCAGTCAAGCCACGTTATTTGATACTATGATAAACTTCCCCCAAATCTCAGTGACTTAAAATAGCAGAGGTTTACTTCACACTCATGCCCCATGTCCACTGAGGACAGCGTTCTCAGTCACAGCCTCAACCTGCTGTGCCAGAAACATTCACTTACTCCATAATAATTGTGGCTTACCTACCTTGCACCAGGCACTAGGGATGCAGGCAAAGCCCCTGACCTCAGAGAGCTTACCTTCTAGTGGAAATGTATTAGTCAGGATGGGATAGATTGTACTATGTAACAAAAGAATTCTGGAATCTTAGCAGCTTAACACTATTCTCTTCTCATGTTAAACAACTGGTATTGGTTAGTGGATAGCTCTACCTCACAAGATCCCTACAGATACCGCCTCTGATATCACTGGTTGCTATGCCTAGAGAAGGGAGGACAATGAATCATGCACTGGGAATTGAATTCTTTGCCTAGAAAGGACCCACATTACTTTTGCGTACAGGCTACAAACTAGAATTAATCACATATCCTCACCTAACTATAGGTGGGTGGAGAAATGTAGAGATATACAGAATACTTGCTGAGCAATGCTGTCTTTACACTGGGAGAAGATAAATGGTAAACAAATAAATGATCATCAAAATATCTGATCATAGTAAATGATTTCAAAGGAAAAAGTGAGGAGAGAAAAATGGGATAGAGACTACTCTGGATGAACTGTGTCCCCTATTCCCATATTGAAGCTCTAAACCCTAGATCTCAAAACGTGATTATATTTGGGAAAAGGGCATTTAAAAATGTAACAGTTAAAATGGGGTCATCTACAATGATTGGTTTCCTCATAAGAGGACACTGGGACAAAGAAAATACACAGAGAAGGGCGACTAGATGAGGATACAGCAGAACAGTCACCTGCAAGCCAAAGAGAAAGGTTGCTCAGAATAAACCAAACATGCCAGCACCTTGACACTGGACATTTAGCTTCCAGAACTATGAAAAAATAAGCATTTACTGTTTAAGCCACATAGACTGTGGCGTTCATTACAACAGCTGTAGCAAACTAGCACAGAAGATATGTCAAAGAAGTGGCAAGTAATCAATCCCAACACCCAGGATCTGAGCAGGATCGTGAGTTTGGGGCCAGCCTGGGGCTACACAAAGAGTAGAATGTCACCTAAACTATATAGCAAGATCCTGTCTCAAGCAAGCAAGCAGGCAGGCAGGCAGGCAGACAGATAGAAAAACAGGAGAAGAGGAGGGAGGACCTTCTAAAGACCTGACATTTGAGCAGTGTCTTTAAAGATGAGTCGTGAAGACTGCAGAGGTGGTGAAGTCTGAACTAAGCACACAGAGCATGCAAAAGCCTTGGGGGGTGAGAACAGGTTTAGAGTGTGTTCGTCTCCTGAGACCATCAGAAACACACCTGTTAAGTAAGTCAAGTGAATTTGACTCATGCATTGAGGCAAGATGTCACACTATGAGGAGGAATGTGTGTTTCACAGCAAGAAGCTGTCAGAAAAAAAGAGTGTGGGCCTGCCATGTGATTTGGGGAGTGGGCACAAGGAGGTGGGCAGTCGCTCTGGAATGGGTGTTGTCAAGGAATGACTCATTCTGTCTTAGCTAACAGGTAAGCAGAATGGAGTGAAGCTGCATCTGGCAAAAAAGCAGCAGTCACTCCTAATAGCTGGGGCAGGAGGATGTTCGCTGTTTGGTGGTTGGGACCGTGTTCCTGTTTGCTCCAGTGCAAGAGACATAACTGCAGAATGTGCTTAATTTTGTCTTGACTCCTTGGAGAGGAGACTGTGTCTGATGAAGTCCTGTGAAAACTGCTGATGCTCAATAGAGAACATCATGATCCAGATGTGAGCTCCAAGGCACCTTCTAGCAATGCTGGGACCCATTATTAGTGTCCAGTCAGCCCCTGGCCATCGGGAGCTGATTTCTCTCTCACACATATTTGTGGAATATGCAATAAAACCTTTTCCTGCCATGGAAGGCTGGTCAAATGGCTTTCTGTCTTTAAACCTCAGTTTCCTCATTTTCAGAAGACTTTAGTGGCACTGATCACATAGGTCTCTTGTAAGGGTTTGATGCATTGTTATGCATGAAGTGCTGGGCCAGTGTTATTACCAGGGGGTGCGCAGTAAGGGCCCTGTCCCGCAGATACCAGGGCTCTGTGCCCTCAGTGTGGGTGACTATTTTCCATCACAGAGGTGCAGACATCAGAAAGGCTGCCACTGCTTCAGTACTCACCAACCACTAGGACTCCCTGAGGACATACAGGGATAGATGAGCATGCATTCTTGGGTATTTTTACCCACTCATGGATGCTGGACACTTTTGGATTAGGACACTCAAAAGCAACCAAGGGATACAGAAGCATTTAGAAAGACACTGCACAAACTCAGGATGAGTACAAGATCAGAAAAGCCTAAGATTAGCATAGAGACATCCTGTAATAATAACAAACAAAACCCTAGTAAATCCTCGGGAAAATCTGATTTTCAGAGTTACCACCAATAGAAGACTCAAATTTTTATATTCACCATTCAACCCCCTCCCTCCACCCACAATTTACAGAGAAACAAGAAAGTCTGACCCATGGAGAGGGGAGTGCATGCCTGATGAAGGGGAGCAGAGGCTCACTAGACAAAGACTTAACTGTTATAAATAAAGGAAATAGACAAGACAGGGACATGTTGTATGAGCAAAATGAGAATACCAAGAAAGAGACTACTACAAGAAACAACAATGAAAGAGAAAATCCCTGAGCTGAAAAATACAATTGCAGAAATAAAAAAAATTCACTAGAAGCATATAAAAAAGTCGTGATCAGCCAGAACAAAGATCAACAAACAGTAAGACAATTGATACAATTGTCTTACAACAGTAAGACAATTGATAAATCTAAAGGAAAGAAAGAAAAAAATAAGACAGGAAAACAAAAGAATGTAAGAGATCACTGAGACCACATGCATATTGTGGGAGCTCCAAAGAGGGAAGAGAGAGAAAGAGGAAAGAACTATATCCAAAAAACAACGGCTGAAAAATTTCCAAAACGGACCTAAATCTGCAAACTCAAAATGCTCAGTGAATTTAGCTAAGTAGGAAAACCCAAGGAGATTCTCATTCAAATATATTAGCATCAAGCTATCAAGGTACAGATAAAGTCTTGCTGGATTCAGTGATGTCTATAATCTCAGCTTCTTGAGAAGCCAAGACAGAGAGAAAATGAATTTGAGGCCAGACTGAGCTGGGCAACATAGCAAGACTGTGTCAAAAAAAATCTTGAAAGCAGAAAGAGAAATCATGTGTTATATTCAAAGAGCCCTTAATAACATTGGCAAACTTCTAGATGATACATGCAAAGTACCAAAAGCAAAGCAAAACAAAGTAACCTGTCAGTCAAAAACTATCCTCCAACAATCAGGGAGAAATTAAGACATTCTCAGATAAAAGTGAAAGGAATGTATTACCACTAGACACGTCCTGCAGGAAAAATGCTAAAGAGAGTCTCTCAGATTGAAATGAAAAGATTGAAGCCAGATAAAGAAATAAAGATCTCCGCTAAAAATATACATGAGTAATTATAAAAGCTCATTTTATTGTAATTTTGGTTGGTAATCTCACTTTCTGTCTACATGATATAAAAGAAAATGTATACAATTATTAATCTTTGTTATTGGAAAAATGTGTAAAGATATAATTTGTGACATCAGCAGAAAATGATGACAGAGGCATACAAGAGCAGAGTTTTTATACGCCGTTAAAGCTGATATAAATTTAAAATGGAGCATTATAATTTTAGGATACAATATGATAAACACAATGGAAAAACTATAAAATATAAACAACAAAATAAGAAGAGAATTAAAACGTTTTACTACCAAAAAAAAAAAAAATCCCTGGACATGAGAGAAGGCAGTAATGAATAAAATAAAGAAGAAAATAATTATGACACATAAAAAAACAATTAGTAAACTGGAAGAAGTCACTCCTTAGGTCAAAAGACAATGGTTGAAAGAATGGATTTTTAAAATGATCCAGAGCATAGTGGTGAACACCTGTAATCCCAGCTACGTGGGGGTGGGGTGGAGCAGGAGGACTGCAAGTTCAAAACCAGACTGGGCAATTTAACAAGACCTTGTTTCAAAATTTAAAAAACTAAAAGTGACTGGGGATATAGCTCAATAGTAGAACGGGTGTTTGGCATTTGTTGAGCTCTGGGTTCAATCCCCAATACTGGAAAAGAAAAACAAAAAACACAGTCACTTCAGATCTAAAGACACAGAAATAGTTAAAGTAAAAAGAATGGAAAAAGATATTCTGTGCAATAATAATCAAAAGAGAGGTGGAATGGCTATGTAAGTATCAGACAAAAACAGTCTTTAAATCTAGAGAGAAAAAGGACATTATACATTAACAAAACATTCCATACAGCAAGAAAATATAATGCTCATGAACATTTACACACCTAATAATGGACTTCAGAATATAAAGCAAAAATTGACAATAAAAAGGAGAAATAGACTTGATAGCCAGTATCATCCTAATACCAAACCTAGATGAGGATATCAATAGAAAAGAAACTTACAGACTAGTATCCTTCCTGACACTAGATACAAAAGCCTCAACACAATATGAGCAAATTGAGTTTATTAGGAGTATCCATTGTGATGAAGTAAAATGCAGCCAGGAATGTAAGAGTAATTCAACATAAGTAGGTCACTAGTCGACTCAGAATCTGACATTCCCTTCATTCTTTAACAGGATAATGGAAAAAAATCACATAGGATCCTCTCCATTGGTGCACAAGGGAATTTGACAAAATCTAAGATCTTTTCATGATTAAAAAAGTCTCAGAAAATTAACAAGAGGACAAATTCCTCAACATGTGAAGATCTCTATGAACAGCCTACAGCTAACATCATACTCAGTACTGAAAGAAAGTTTTCTTTTTAACTCTGGGAACAAGACAAGGATGCTCACTTTCACCACAGGTGTTCTGAGAAGATCTACTCACAGCTATTAGACAAGAAAAGGAAACAAAGTCATCCAAACTGCAAAGGAAAAGGCAACAGTATCTCTGCTTACAAATGACACAATCATGTATCTAGAAAACTCAAAAGAATCCACAAAACAGCTACTAGAGTTAATAAGTAAATTCAGCAACAAACACAATAGTTGTGTTTCTATACATCAGCACTGAAGCATGTGACGAGGAAATTAAGAAAACAATTCCATGGACAATGGTGAGTAAAAGAATTGAACACCGGAGGGCTGAATCAAACCAAGAAAGAGAAAGAGTTACACACTGGCAACTACAGAAAAAAATGCTAAAAGAAGTTAAGAATGTCTAAATAAATAGGAAGATACCCTACGCTTATAGCTAAGAAGACAACATTGAGTGACCTACAGATTCCAACACAATGCCTATCAAAATTCTTTTTTCCTATCAAAATTCTAACATCCTTTTTCAAAGAAGTAGAAGCAGATCCTCAGATTCAAGTGGAATTGGAAAAGCTCCCAAATAGCTGAAATAACCTTTAAAAAAGGATAAAATTGAAGGACTTACAGTTCCCAATTCGAACTTACTACAAAATTACAGTAATTAAAATAGTATGGTACCAGCAAAAGGAGAAACAGAGACCAACAGAATAGAAGAGAGAACCTAGAAATAAACCTTCACATAAATAGACAATATTTTTTTTGCTAAGGAGCCAAAACCATTTAATGGAAGACACAGTAATTTTTAAATGGTGATGAGAAACCTGGATATCCAAGTAAAAGAATAAAGTTAGAACTTTATCCTATACATATAAAAAATTAGCATGTGTCAAAATTAAGAGCTAAAATTATAAAACTATTAGAAGAAAATGTTTGGGAAATCTTTGTGACAGTGGATTTGGCAACGACTGCATTATATGGTGTGAAAGGCACAAAGCAACCAAAGAAAAAAGTAGATAAACTGAGCAACAAATCAAGACCTTTGTGCATCAATGGACACTATCGAGACAAAAAAAAAGAAGAGGGGAATTAATGGAAAATCATATATGTAGCATGGGATTAATAGAATATATATAGAACTTCTACAACTTGACAATAAAGCCAATTAAAAATAGCAAAGGAGGCAGGCATGGAGAAAGCATGCTTGTAATCCCAGAACTCAAGAGGTTGAGGCAGGTGAATCACTGAGAGTTCAAGGCTAGCCTTGGCTACATAGTGAATTCAAGATTAGTCTAAAACTACACTGAGATCCTGTCTCTTAAGGAGGAGGGGTGCAGTGATATAGCTCAGCAGCACAAGCACCTTCCTGGTAAGTGCAAGGTCCTGAGTTTGATTCTTGGTACAAAAACAAGACAAAACAAAACAAAACAGCAACAAAAACCAAGTAGGGGGAGCCCCAGGGTTTGAAGGGACATTTCTCCAAAGAAGACTAGATACTCAATATCATTAGCCATCAGGGAAATGCAGATGAAAACCATAATGAAATGCCATGTCACACTAACTAAGATGGCTAAAAGCAAGAAAATGGATAACAAGAAGTGTTGGTGGAGTTGCAGAGAAACTGCAGCCCTCTTTCATTGCTGGTAAGAATGCACAAAGGTACAATCGCTGTGGAAAAACAGCGGAGTGGTTCTTCAAAAGGTTAAAAATAGAACTATCCCATTACCTGGCAATTCTTCTCCTAGATGTATCGCTACAAAAACTGAAACCAGGTATCTCTATATTGATGTTCACAGCTGCATTATTTACAATGGGAAAAAAAGGAATCCCAAATGTCCATCAGCAGATGAATGGCTGAATAAAATGTGGTCTACAATGGAAAGCTACTAGGCTATAAAAAGGAATGAAATTTTGATTTTGAGATATGCTGCAAAACAGATGGACACTTAAAACAGACACAGAAGTGCAAATGTTATATAATTCCATTTATATGAATTCGATAGCCACAACGTAGAATAAATGTTAGTAGTTAGGGGCAGGGCAAGAAGGAATGAGAAATGTTTAATTGGGTGAGAATTTATATTGAGGACAATGAAAAGGTTTGAGCGCATCCAATATGATGAATGTAAGATCACCAAAGTTCACACTTAGAAATGGTTAAAATAAATGTTGTGGTATGTATAATTTATCAAAATAATTTAAAGTTGTGAAGGTATGTGGAGGTTGAAATTTTACAAGTGGCTAGGAAAGAGGTCATTGCAAAGGTGACATCTAAGTGAAGCCCTAAAGGAGACGAAGGACCATGCTGACAGCTATGGAAGGGTGTCCTGGAAGAGTAGTGGCATGGGCGATGTCCGTGAGGCGGTCTGAGAGGCAGACTGAAAAATAATCACTGAGGAAGTCACTGAGGATGAAGTTGAACCAGAGGGGGCACAGGGGCGATCGGGCCACTGTATTTTGGTTTCTGCTGGGAATGAGGAGCCATGGCACGGTTTTGCGCGGAGGAACGTGACCTAAGTACAGTACATGATGAAATAAAACACTTCTAGCTACCCGACCCACCAGCCAGCGGCCACTCTGCAACTTTTCGGTTGGAAAGCAGTATTTCCCAGGTTGCACTTTCCTTCAGCGCCACCGGGAGGCAGCAGAGGCGCGCGAACGCAGCGCAGGCTGCTTGCCACACCGCGGGGCCGCGCCCAGCTCTCCGCTCAGGTGGCTAGTTCCCGGGATCTCTGGGCGGAAACTGAACCCTGGTTTGGCGCCCCCGCTCGGCCCCTTTAAGAGCCAGAGTTTCCGGAGGCCTGGCCTGGGGCGAGGGATACTCTGGGGCCGAACCAAGAGTTCGGAGTAGGGGGAGGTGGCGAAAACTTTCGCAATAAATTCCAACTCTGGAGAGTCTAAGTCCCCTCGGGCGTCCCTAGGGGGTGCAGAGCTTTCCTTTCAGGGACTTCTCTTTACTCCTTAGGCACAGGAAGTCCACAGCACCTTAGGGCAACCAGGCCTGAGGAGTCCCAGGGCAAACGGAAAAGCAGGTGCCCGGACCTCGCTCCGACTCGTCCCTCCCCATGGGGCGCACCTAGGCGGGTCCATCGCCCGCTGGGGACGGGGGTGTGGGCGAGGAGAGAACAGGTGCGCGGCGGACCCGCCCACTTTCAACAGGTGAATCACGCGGAGAGTGTCTCTGTGCCGGAAATTCTCGGTCCGCTTGGTTGGGCCGAGGCCGGAGCGCGTGGATGGGGCCTGCGGTCTGTCGCTGCCCTCCTGGAGCGCGGGTCACTTGGTTCAGGCCCTGGGGGCAGGAGCGCACCTGGGTCAGCCCACTTCCGGGGAGGGAGGCTGAGGAGCCCCTCCCCACCGCCCACCCCCAAACCCAGCCCTTGGCTCCCACCCCTGTGTACCTGGGCCGATCCATTGCCCGAGGCGCGCAGGGGTGGAGTGGCCCAGAGGACCACCGTGTGACCAGCAAGTGTCCCCTCGAGAGCTGAAAGCGTGCGCTCCGTCCACTGTGTTTCTGTTGGTTAAAACTCCTGGAGCGCGGCAGATTGGGCATGGAATAAGAACAAGGAACGGAAGCGGGAAGGGGAGGAGCACGCACCCCCGCCGGCCTTGGAGCTCGCCGCGCCCCCTACTCTCTAGGTACTCGGGTGGGGACGCGCCGGCCCTGCGCGCCTAGACGGCCGGAATGGCGCCGGCGGAGTCGTCGCGTTCCTGTGGGCCCGGCTCTCACTCGGCCGTGGTCGTCGTCGTCTGGCTCTTTCTCAGTACTTGGTGCTCAGGTACGGAGTGCGGGATGCAGGGCGCGGGTGCTGCGCCAGGGACGCTGCAGAGGCGAGATGGACACAGGTCTCGGACGCCCGGGAGGTGGGAGAACCCGGGGTCTCTAGGGGGAGGGCGCAGAGAATGGGCACCTGCCTGTGTGCCCAGGTCGGGGATTCCCTTGTTCGCCATTCTGAGGTTCCCTCTGCCTTGTTGGGAGATAGCAGGAAGTGAAACTCTGGAATCATCACTCCTGGAGCTGAAGAGACAAACGGGGACTCTGTGGGGTGGGGATGAAGGACAGGGTGATCGCAGAAAAGTTCGGTATGGGCGGGGTCTTCGGCGCACCCCGAATGTCTTAAGTATTGGGGTAACAGGGAGAGAGTATCTGGAGTCTGGATCAGATTTTTTTTTTTTTTTTTTGAAAAAGAGGAAAATGTTCCCAGGGTTTGAGTGGCTGTGAGACTAGGGACTCTCCACCCACGGCCCCACCCACCTCCCCGCAGACTCCCAGTTTCTGTGCGGAAGAGGCCATGAGATAGACTTGTGGACCTGAAACAGTCTTCCGCTGGCAGGCGCCCATCTGGGTCGCATGTTCTTTCTGGCGGGAACTGAGTCCTTTATCACCAAGCACTTTTGGGGACGCATTTGGTGTGGCTTTGGGTAGGGTGAAGGAGAGAGGCTGATGGAGAGATGTTGCTAGGGGGAGTGGGGGGGGGTGTCAGCCACTCAGTGAGGAAGCGGTTCATTCGAATAACTGTAAGATTCATGAAAACCTGGGTGACTTGGAGCCCTTGGCACCTCATTTTGAAATAAGGGCTTCCTTGAACCCTGGGGACAGTGTGAGCTTTGGGGCTCGCCTATATGAGAGCCATGTCCATTTCTGTGAGAATGCTGAAAGAAAGAGAAACTTGGGGGTTCAGGGGCCAGATCTGAGAGAGATGGACAGCATGTTCCAGAAATCTGGCCCTACAACCTTGTATCTGCCACTTTTCAGCCCTATGGCCCTATAAAATGGGCATGACTGTGGGAGCCTCACCCACCCTGGGGATTAAGGAACAATGGGTACCAGGCACTCTGTAAAACCATATGCTTCTAAGTGTCAACTTGGTGACAAGTGATGTTGCTCATTCTTATTGAAGTAATTCCTTGAGCTCACAGCAGTTCTTGCTCATTCCATCTTGCCCTCAGTGCCTGCCGGTGCCATCCAGGTGACAGTATCCAACCCTTACCATGTAGTGATCCTGTTCCAGCCTGTCACCCTGCCCTGCTCCTACCAGATGACCTCGAGCTTCACAGCACCCATCGTGATCTGGAAGTACAAGTCCTTCTGCCGGAATCGAATCGCTGATGCATTCTCCCCAACCAACGTGGACAACCAGATCAATGCCCAACTGGCAGCTGGCAACCCTGGCTACAACCCATATGTGGAGTGCCAGGACAGCGTGCGTACCGTCAGGGTTGTAGCCACCAAGCAGGGCAACGCTGTGACCCTGGGAGACTACTACCAGGGCCGGAGGATCACCATTACGGGAAGTATGTGGGGTGAGGTGGAGTGGGAGAGGAGGCTGGGGCTCCTGGGGTGTGGGCTGGCTCCCTGGTTTCCAGTGTAGTCTCCCCAGGAGTTCATGACCACAATCAGAAAGGACTGATGCAGGGAGGAACCCTTTTTTCCACCCATCCACACTTTCCTTAATCTCAGAGATTTATTGTGTACCTGCTGTATACCAGGTGCTATTCTAGGCCCTGAGAACACAGCCGTAAACCAAACTGGCAAATCACTTCTCTCCTGGAGCTCACGTCACAGTAAGAGAGACAAACACAATGTAGACTTTCAAGTGCTTGCAGTTAAAGGAAATGGTGATGAAGAGAGAGTCAGGAGTTTATTTTATAATAATACTAGTAGTTCCTGCAATGAGAAAGGACTATTAACAAAAGGCCTCCTAAGTGCCAGAACCTACTCCAGGTTCACATAGATGAACTCACATAGACCACACAGTAATTGGAATGAGTTGTTTCCATTACTGTTATTTCACAGAGGCCTAGTAAGCTAAAGTTACTTGCCTAGGGTCACAACTGGTTTGAGTTGGGTTCCAATTCAGTCGCTTTGGGCTTAGTCCCCAAGCCTCTGTGTTCACCCAGGGAACAAAGGGGAGGTGGTATCAGTGAATTAAAGGAAAAGTACTGGAGATTGAACCCAGGGTCTTTGCACTGAGATACACCCTAAGCTTTTTTTTAAGTTTTGAGACAGGGTCTGCTGAATTTCCCAGGCTGTCCTTGGAATTTGAATCCTCTTGTCTCACCCGAAATGCTGGGATTACAAGTATGTGCTGCTACACTCAGTGGTGCTAGATGTCCTTGTAGGTGCTGGGGACAGAGTGGTGATCAGAACAGCTGAAGTCCCTGCCCCAGGAGATGGCATTCAAAGTTAGGATGGTTCAGAAAGAGTCAGAGAATTTCAGACAGTGCTAAGTGTCGGGTGAGTGTTATGTGCAGTGACTTCAACATGGCCACCTTATGATTACTGTCATTGTGATAGGAAGTGGGCTGGGACTGGGCCCTGGAGAATCCAGAAGACAGAGGGGAGGGAACAGTAGCAGTGGGTGGAGGGAAGAGGGCTCACCCACATAGTGGGTGTGCCCTTCCACTGCCTTACAGAAAGATAGGATATTGATCCTGGGCATAAGGGAAGAATAGGGAGGGAAACCCCAAGTGACCTGGCTGTGGTGCACATTTCTGACTGTCAGACCCTAGATAAAAGGCAAGGCTACAGGCACAGAGCCTGTCGACCCTGCGGTAGGGGAGGGACCAGCTCAGCCTGAAGCTTCCTGCTATTCCTGAGGCTTCTTAGGGGTTTATGCTGTGCCAGCCTGGATTGGGCCTGACTATCTGGGCTTGTCAGGACAACCACACAGGGAGTGTGCCCTTGGAATCTGGGCTTCTGTCTTGGACACAAAGCCCCAGAGCCACCCTTATGCTTTATCCAAGAGGGACCTTCATGTCCAAAGAACTTGGAGAGCTGAGTCTTTCAAATGGCCTTGACTTGAGCCACATTTGATACAGGCCATGGTAGGTAACTTTGTATTGAAAGGACTGTGTCCTTTCAGAACCCTAGTAGCCTGCGGTTACCACTAAAAGTTTTCTCCACTTGCACTTTAGGGGCAGGGCAAAGTAGACCTCTCTGGGGTGTTCCTAGTGTTACCAGCTGCCCTAGGCTTATAAGGAAAGGAGGATAATCTTGGGTATACTGGAGGTGTCCCTTTCCCTGGGTGGATTGTGTCCCCTCCCATTCTAACCTCCTTTGGCAGTGTGGGCCACCTGCATCTAAGGCTCCATTATCTCCACCTCAGGCTGTTTGGGGCCATGTACTGACTACTCTCAGCAGTACTGGAACAGAGAGGCCTTGGTACCTTGGAAATCATGAGACCGTCCTTGCTACGTGTAGATAAAGAAGCAGAGGCCAGAGTCAAGGAGGGGGCCTGCTGTGTTCCCTGTGTTCCCTCTGGAGCCTGGCATCTTTTCCCTGCACCTGAAATAATTGAAACCATGCCCAGCCAGTGTGGCCAGGAACAGGGTCCACCCTGTAGGAAGGAAGTAGGTTGAGGCCTTAGGATTGATCAGAAGAATCCGGAAAGCCGTGTTTCTTGTGAATTTTGAAAACATGCAGTCCAAACAAAACACACCAAGGCCCGTATCCGGCCCTGGAGAGCCCAAGTTTCAACTTCTAGCCTCTATAATTGTTTGCCACAGCGGGGGTTCCTGTCTAACTCTTAAGCCATGGGCAGGGACCAGCTCTTGTGTTCCAGTGTTGGGGCAACATGATAAGAATCTCACTGGACCTCTGTCTTAGGCCGTTGGGGGACAGAAACAGGTCAGGGTGAGCTCTCCAGCCAGGCCAGGTCCATAGTTTCTTGGCCACTTCCTTCCTGACTGAGCAGCTCCTGTTGACCTGTTTCGCCTGACCCCATGGGCCCAAACCCTCCTGTAGGACAGCTCAGTGTGAGCAGTAACTGGGTGCTCCAGACCACAGCACCCAGCAGCTACCCGCTGATGTTTCTCAAAGATACAGATGGAAATGACAGCCAAAAGGGTATCGGGGGAAAACGTGTGTTCAGGAGAATCTGATTCACAGTTTTTGAACATTCAGTAAAAGGATGGATTCACGCAGAGGGGCCTACCTAGCACATAGCAATAGCTCAATAAATGGTGGCTAAGTACCAGGCTCTGGAGTGGGGGGCATAGCTGCCATTCCACCATGTATGATCTGAAGGTCACCTCTGGGGGCCTCCTGGCCTCTTTATTTACAGCTGCACAGTTCTCCCTCCCTACCTGGTACCTACTCCCTTTCCAGTTCATTTGCCCCACACTGCTTATCACTGTCCTATATGCAGTATGGTTAATTTTTATTTGTCTCTTCCGTGCTTAGACTATGAGCTTTACCAGGGTGAGTTCGCCATGGCAGTGGGTGTCAAAAGTCTTGGCCTCGGTGCCTCTTTGCACTCACAATTATACAGTACTTCAATAAGCTTGTGTTTTCATAGCTAGCAGATTACATTTTTAAAACATTTCAAAGACAGTCATAAATGATTTACAAAAGTACCATACTTTTTCTGCCAGGTGTGATGGCACATATCTGTAATCCCAGCGCTTGAGAACAGGCAGGAGAGTCGCCATGAGTTTGAGGATAGTGTGGGCTACATAGTGAGTTCAAGGCCAGCCTGAACTGTATAGTGAAACCTTGTTTCAAGAAACCAAAAATAAATAAGTAAATAATTT